TTCACACACACATGTTCACACACTCCACACACACCATGTTCACACACACACATGTTCACACACCACACACACTCCACACACACATCATGTTCACACACCACACACACTCCACACACACATCATGTTCACACACACTCCACACACACATGTTCACACACACACCATGTTCACACACACATGTTCACACACACACACCACACACACACACTGCATACGAGTGGAAAATAGAACAAAGGAAAAACAGAAAAGGAAGCCAGTAGACATAAACAAGAGAACGGAGAAAAGTGGAGGGCGGCCAGGACGCCAAGCAGCAGGGCTGTGGGTGCGGGCGGGGGTCTGACTCACAGTCTCTGGGGCAGGGGGTGGGTGCCCGCAGCTCCAGCCTCGTGCTCCTGCCCTGCACCTTCCTGCCAGCGCCCTGCAGCCCCTCCGCTCAGCCGCTCACCCCTCACCCCCTCACCCCCAGCGGCTTCACCCTCCCCGCCCGTTAGTAAAAATCCTTTTCCTGGTTTCCCCTTGGAAGCGAGTGGTTCCATTACACTGATCAAAAACAGGCTTCTAAACGCAGGTTTCTTCAACGCAGAGCTGGAGGCTGGGGCCTGGGGGGCGGAGGCCATGCCAGGGAAGAGGACCCCGGGGGCGGGCGGGGAGGCCTGCTCTGCAGGGGAACAGCCGCTTCGCGAGGCCTGGTGCCCGCACTCCCGAGCTCAGCCCGGGGGCCCAGCCAGCGACTCACCTCCCCCCGAGCCCAGAAGCGCAGCCACCACCCGCAGGCAGCGGTTGACGTGCTCGCCACTCTGCTGATGTTTGTAGATGTACTCATATTCCACGTGGCCCTTGCTGCGCATGACGACGTACTTGTAAGGAATGGGTTTATTCAGGTGCTGCTGGGACAGGACAGCGCTGCCTTCCACGAGGAACCCGTTCTCATGCAGGTCTCTGAATAAACACGACACCAGCCGGTTATCCACAAAAACGCCTATTTGGAACATTTTAGCTCCCCTCAAACGCAGCCTGGAGTGCAGACCCAGAGCTATAAATCACTACTGACCAAGAGGACGCTTCTAGAATGACACATAGTTTGCAGACAGAACCAACATTAAAGGGGCCATGATGACATATGACACAGAAATGCATTATACAGATATTTGAAACAGTCATTTTCCAAAGTGTAAGAACATTATCAACTTGAAAAAAACTATTATTTCAACGTATTTCAAAGACTGGATATTCTGTACGTTCCCCACAAGCCCTTGGTACACTCACTTGGTGCAGTGCATCTCACAGACCTTCAAACTCCACTTGGGCTTCCCAAATTCTTCTCCCCCCTTGACAAACACTTTGTGGAGGCTGGGGTCGAAGCTGAAATCCTTAGAGATGATTGCATGGAAGTACACCGTGATTCTCTCCTGCTGACTCAGTGGGCTGGAAGAAAGCCGTAAAAGGAAACACCAATTAGGTGCAGATCTGCCTGCCCCCCTGCACGCACACGCACACACACATACACACACGTGCACAACAGGGTCCTTGTTTCTCGACTGTGCACTAACACACACCCTGGCAGAGTGCGAGAGCATCCACACTTCAGACAGACCCCATGCCATGTGGGTCCTCCTGGGTCTCCCTCCCCGGTGGACCAGGAAGGTGGGCTTCTACCCACAGGGTGAGGGGCCATCTCAGCCCAGCTCTGAAGGGCTGAGGGCAGTGGCGGGAGGGGGCTGATGAGCACTCTGGGATGTACCACCTTCGCCCCTGAATTCTGTAAGGCCCACGTGGCCTCAGGGACCCCAGGGCCTTTGCATGCTGTGTGCTGGAGCATTTCACCAAGCAAGGAGAGGGGACACGTGGCCCCCCAAAAGAGTCTCCAAGAAGGGCAGCCTGGGAATCTCCTTCCCCTGCCCGGGGCAGGTTGTGTCCTTGCTCCCAAGGACCAGGGCGCACACCCACCTCTCCTTCACTTCACATGCTCCGGCTTTGCGGTTCTGTTGCTCCTTCTCATTTTTCACCGCGGCCACACGACTCTTGTTATTCCCTTCTGGCTTCTTCGGACCCTCTGGCTTGGCCTTCTCACTTCCACCTGCTTTGTCTCCAGTAATGGCTGTCTTCTTGGTTTCAGCTTCCTGGAACAAGTAACCGAGCCCCGACCTTTAGGACCAACTTCCACATTTGCCCCCTCCAGTCAACGCTTGTCATAGCAGCCAGAGTGGTCATGTCCCTTCCCTGCTCAGAACCTTCCATTGCCCTCTGATCCACTTGCTACAGCCTCCAAGAGTCCCTCTGCAACCCTTTTCCCCTCACTCCCTCCTGGGGGCACTGGCTTCCTTCCTGTTCCCTACACAGGCCCACTACACTCTGCCACAGGGCCTTTGCACCTGCCATTGTTGCCTGGGACATGTCCCCAGAGAGCCACATGGCTTGCTCCTCACTCTTGTGGATCTCTGCTCCACCTGCACCTCCCTGGGGAGGCCTTGCCTGGTGATGCTCTCTCAGCACCCACCTCCAGCACCCTCCACCCACGCCCTGCTTTTCTCCGTGGCTCTCGCCATGCCTGACTTTGCTTTCTGTCTTTCCCCCTGTAGAAGGTGGGCCATGACAGCAGGAGTCAGGTCTCCTTCATGGCTGTATCCCTAGCACCCAAAAGAGAATCACCGAATGACTGAACGAAGGACGAACTTTAGAAGGAACGGGGCCCAAAGGAGCAGATGGTGGGACAGACAGCAGGACGCAGAGGCTTTTAAGAACAAGATGGCCGGGGCACCTGGGTGGCTCAGTTGGTTAAGCGACTGCCTTCGGCTCAGGTCATGATCCTGGAGTCCCGGGATCGAGTCCCGCATCGGGCTACCTGCTCGGCGGGGAGTCTGCTTCTCCCTCTGGCCCTCCCCCCTCTCATGTGCTCTCTCTTTCTCATTCTCTCTCTCTCAAATAAATAAAATCTTTAAAAAAAAAATAAAAAAATAAAAGAACAAGATGCCCTACCTGGCGGTGTTCTGGGGAAGCAGGGGCGCTTGCTGGCGGCTGTTTCTTGTTCTGAGTCTTGGCTTTCACTTTTTCCCCAGCCCCTCCCACGGGCTCAGCCGGCTGGGCTGCAGCAGCAATTTCCTGGAGGAGACAGAGGCCTCAGACGTCAGGGCCCAGGTGATGACCCGATGGCGTAGGGGTCAGCTCTGCCACCAGCCCAGCGAGAGGGATCAGCGGCTCGGCGGGGGGGGGGGGGGGGGGGTGGGCACCATCGCAGGGAACAAGTCCCAGGGGTGCCCTTCCTACGCAGGGAGGCAACAGCAGAGCTGCTTGGCCACAGCCCGCCGTCCGGGCACAGCGGACCCGCTCATCACTCCCCTGACAACTCACCCCAGAGGCACGGGCCCCAGCCTGCTGCGCGGCAGTCTGTGGTTCTTTCCTGGGCTCAGAGCCCTGCTTGGACTCAGGCGGCAGAAGCTCCTGAGCAGCACCTTCCTTGCCAGGACAGTCTTTGCTGGCAGAGGTGGCTGCACCAGCCCGCTCCTGGGGGGGGCCTCTGCCCTGGGAGGGCTCGGGGGTGTCATGGTTCTTCCCGTTCAGGAGGGCACCTCCCCCGGGCTGGTCCTGCAGAGGGCTGCCACCAGCCTCGACATGCCCCACGGGCTCTGGGCGGTCACCACCCTCTGGTGGCGTCGGGGTGGCACCCGGGGGCTGGCTCGGCTGGCGGGTCGGACCACCTTGCGGAGCCCGGCTCTGGGGTGGGGCTGAGTCCTGGAAGCTGGGGTCTGCAAGCGAGCTGACACTACTGGGGATGGAGGAGGCCTCCAACAAGGAGTCCAGCTCTGCGGAAGTGGAGGCATTCTGGTTCTTTCTCTTCTTCCCTCTCTTCCTTTTGCTCTAAACAGAAGAGACACTCATTTTATTTCCTAGGGTCACTATACTCTCCCAACACTCTCCTCCAATTTCCTTTCAATGTCTCAAGTCCGTCAAGCTTAGCCTGACCAAACCCCCTTATATCTGTCAAATCTGCCATGTCTTTATCTTGGAAAGACTGAAGCAGAGACACAAATGGACGCGGGCAGTGGACAGAGCTGCAGGACACGCGGCCGAGCCGTGCCGGCCACACCCTTCGTTCCGCCAGATCAAAGCTGAGAACCTCCACCGGAAGTGCTTCCCAGGGGACATCCCGGAGCGTGCTGCTTGTGGGCCTCCGTGTATCACACTCTGACGTCGCAAGCCTTTCCTACGGGACCTTGAGAGACCGAAAGCAGACGGGAGTCTGAACAGCCCTTTCCGGCCTGGAGATCCTTGATCAGCGGTCAGTGCTCCCAGCTTTGGAATCAGAAACAGCTTGTGGCGGGCAGCTGGGCAGTCCCTTCCCCGGACCCGGCCGGGACTCAATGCCCTACCTCACCTGGGATACAGCTCTGGAGCAAATGAAGAGTGGTCGGTGCATTAAGTGTCAGTGGCCGGTAAATGCCCTGAGACACAGCGTGGACCCGGGACTCGCCACCGGCCCCAGGCTTGGGTTGAGGTGCTGGGGACACCGAGGGAAGAACTTGGGGTTTTTTTTGCCCATGGGGCGCGGCAGCCTTGGTCTGGGTCAGGTCCTGGGTCTTCTCCAAGATCTGCCCACAACAACCAGCAGGACACACGGGGCCGCCCCAGCGCTGCACCCTCAAGGGAGATTTCCCAGCCTGTCCGACAACTGACACCCACTACCATCACGGTGGCAGGAAAGAGGCCTTAAAAGGTCATCTAAGGCGGGGGGTGGGGGGGGGGGGCCTTGGGGGGC